ACAAAATAAAAAGAGGATTGAACTTGCTTCCCTAGTTGGCAGGCATCATATAGGTGGTTTTTGGTGAACTTAAGCTTGGGAACACCTCTAACTAGGTCTTTTTGGGTCACTCTCTTAAGGGTTTTCATATTGGCATGACATAACCTCTTATTCCATAATTATGACTCATATGTTATAGTTTTTAAGCAAAATGAAGTAGCACATACAATATTATTTAAATCAAGCATGTAAACATTGTTGATATTCTTTTCGTATGAAATAGTATTGTTACTCAAGCTAATAATGCAAGCATTTATCAACAAAATTATAATGAATCCCTTATCGTACAACTGACTGATACTTAGCAAGTTATATTTTAGTCCATCTACAAGACAAATATTTTCAATTAAAATTTTCTTAGAGTTTTCGATTATAGCTGCACCCACCACTTTTCTAGTGGTGTTGTCTCCAAGAGTGATTTTGCCTCCAGCCCTGGTCTTCAATAAAATGAATTGGTTGGCATCTCCAGTCATGCATGTGTCGTGAGTATCCACTATCTAGGTACTACATTCTCTCATGAAGCCTTTTGTGAGATCAAACCTATAAAATCATCAAACGTCAAATTTAGGAACACAAATAAGTTTGGGTCACTTCTTATGAAAAGTAGAATGTAATGCATGTGTGTTATGTTGTGAATCCTAATGTAATTTGGGTCTTCACACCCAATTTGTACTATGGTGAATAGTACAAGTGTGTGAAAAATTTCCTAACATGCCACATAAAAAATATCTAATACCATGAAAAGGGTTTACTAATCTATTCATGTTATAGTATCTCTTCTTAGGTTTCAAAACTTTTGGCTTTATATCAGGTGTAGTGTACTCCTATTTTTCTCAAGTACTTTTAATTTATATTTAAACATCGAGTTAGCACTTTTTAAAATAACATTATCAACCTTCAAATAGTGCTCCTTACTTTTAAATTCATCAATATATATTTTAAAATTATTTTCAAGTGAGGTGTGGGATTCTTTCAAAGATTCATGCTCAATGACCAACTCAGAATACTTTTTATTTAACTCATCAAACTCATTAAGTAATAATATGTGATTGCTATCAATTTGGGCATGATCTTTATGTAAAACTTTATACTCTTTTTGCAAATTTAAAATTTCCAATTTCAGACTAGCATGCAATTTCTTAAGTTTCCTATATGATGTATAAATTTTCTTAGAAACTTTAAGTAATTATTTGTAGGTTAATTCACATACCTCTTCTTGGTCAGACTAACCAAGATGATCATTGCCATCAAACACAGATTTGTTGTTTCCTCTTCAGCTTCAGTCTTAGAGGAGTCAAATGCAAAATCTGTTAGACTGCCTTTTGAAATCGCTTCTGGTCCTTCTTCAACTTGGGTTTCTCCTCACTCTTCTCCTTGCTTGGGTTAGCCTTAAGTGTAGGACAATCAGCTCGTACATGTCCTAGTTTCCTACATTCAAAGCAAATTATATCATAAGAACTTTTAAAATTTTTGCTACCCTTACCTTTATTCCACTTATCATGGTACTTTTGCTTCTTTCTTAGAAAGCTTTTGAATTGACTAGTGATTAAGATAACATCATCACTTTCAGACCCAAAAGAATTAGTGTCCGTATCGTTGGTCTTCAGCACCATAGTTTTCTCCTTCTTTTTCTCACTTGCATCAAGTTATCTTTGGTTCACCCCTTGCTCATAAGGAATGAGTGATCCAAGAAACTTATCATTAGGATAAGTATTCAAATCCTTAAATTTAGTTATTACAGTAATCTTAACATCAAAGAAAGAATAAAAGCATCTTAAAATTTTATTTACTTTTTTATAATTCGTGAGTTCTCTTCCTAAGGCATGCAATGAGGTGACAATTTGAATAAACATAATATACATTTCATAAAAAGATTCAATATATTTCATATAAAAAAATTCGTAGCATGCAATAAAATATTCAACCTAGAATATTTAACTTTATTTATTCCTTCATAAGTAATGCACAATCTATCTCATATTTCTTTACCAGTAGCATAAGTTGAGACATGCATGTAATCTTCCGATTTCAAAGAATAGAAAAAATAGTTTAAACATTTTACATTCAGTTGTGCTAAATCCCTATCATCAAAAGTTCATTCAGTAAAAGAAAATTCAATTTTAATGTCATTAATTTCACGTGACAGAGGTGAATAATCCTCTTTAACAAGCATCCATATACGACAATCAATTGATTGTAAAAATGTAGACATGTGAGTTTTCCAAAAATCAAAAGGAATATTGTCAAACAAAGGTGGTCGGGTAATAGAGTACCCTTTCATAGTATTACAATTACCAGAGTTAGATATGGATCAAAATTCAAAAGTTTTCAAAAACTCGATTTTATGAATCCCTCTCTGATACCACTTGAAAGTTCGTTAAGGATGTTAAGCCCTTGTGAACTAGCCCAAGGCTAACTAAAAGAGTGGGTGAATTGATGTTTTAAAAATTCCTTAATAAAAAATGCAATCTTAAACCAAACTATAATTCACCACAAGAAAATCAAAGTAGAAAAATTAAATACGAAAAAATTATAATAAAGAATACATAAAAATTTATAGTGGTTCGATCAACTTGACCTACTTTCACTTCCCGGAGCCTCTCCTTTGGGTATTGCACTAAACTTAACGACTCTCCTTTTGCTCTCACAGCAAGGCGAAGAAGACTATACAAATCTCCTTTCCACTGTTACCGTTGAGGCAGATAACCCAACTCCTTTTGCTTCATCCTAAAGTAGGTAGAGAACCTGACTCCTTTCGCTTCCTCTTGAAGTAGGCAGAGAACTTTGATCAATTGTTGAAGTAGACCTCTCTCGAACCTTTAAGGAACCAGGGACTACGATCGGAGAAGACTACTCGGATCCTTGCTTGGAGCAACCTTTGTGAAATCCCTCATAAACTCCCCCTCACAAGATCCTCTCTCTCTCTCTCTCTCTCTCTCTCTCTCTCTCCCTTACTCTTACTATCCTCTTAGCTCTCTCAAGTCAAGACAACAGCAAAAGATATAATTTTTGGATAAACAAAATATCTTATATAGAAGAGCTTCGAATGTGCTCTTAATTGCAACAAACTGAAATTATTATCCAGGATGATCGGTCGATCATCTTGTACAATCCGTAAATTCAGCTTAATTAGTTAGGATGATCTAGGAGAGTCTGGACGATTAAAGGACTTATTTGTTCTGATCGTCGAGGATGATAAGATATCGTCTTGTTCGATTAGTACAAAAATGTTGATCATCGTCCAGAACATCACCCTGATTGCATGTCTGGACGATGTAAAAATAAATTGATAGTCCAGGATGATTTCATGATCGTTTAATTCAAAATGTCAAATATCGTCCAAAACATCATCGTGATTGCATCTGTGGATGATGGAAAAATAACTAATCTTCCCGGATGATTTAGGATCATCCTAGATAATTAGTACAAATTAATACACATCGTCCAAAATATCGTTCTTGTCATTCAGGAAGAAACTAAAGTTTGTTTAACTGATTAACTCGGACGATCTTGAGATTGTATAGGATGATATGATTGAGCAATCAAATCTTAATTACTTTTTTTAATTACCAGTCTAATATAGGCATAATTGCATTGCATCGTCGTAGATGATATCCAAAAATTAAAATATGCATAAAAGTATCTGGCGGCTGATTCTTTCTGATTTGAGCCTTTCGTCTAGGACGATGCTAAAATCGTCCAGGACGATTTTCTTAATTGCAGCTGCCTTAACCAGGATGCCCTAATTAGAGTTTATGTTTTTAACTGATTGTCTAGGATGATTTTGGATTGTCTTGGACTATGTTATCAAAAATAAAAAACTCTTAAAATAGATAGAATTTTTTCCTAAGTGTGTGTGTGTGTGTGCAAGGTTATTTAACATCAGGACCCACTTTAATACAATTGACTCAGGAAAAGGGAAAAATACTTAACGACAGTTTAGAGACTGACTCAATCCTAATCTATACAATCTTGAGCTGGCTTGATTTGCAATTGGCCTTGTGGACCTGAAACGTTAGTAGGCAAGATAGTCGTAGAAAAAACATAAGTGTCTGAACTATTTGCAATCATTAAAATTATAATTCATGAATCTATATTCACAACACTAAAATCGAATACATGGAGTGTAATTTTAGTAATAATAGATCTAGTGGGGGTTTTGTGACTTTGAGCGATCAAGTTATTAATTGTATTTGTTTTAAATATCTTGAGTCTATTATTCAGAGTGATGATGAAATAGATGGGGATATTATTATTAGATTTCAAGTTGGATGGTTGAAGTGGAAGAATGATTCAAGTTTGTTATGTGATAGAAAAGTACCACTCAATCTTAAGGAAAAATTTTATAAGATAGTGATGAGACCTCCAATGCTTTATGGTGCAGAATGTTGGCCATTAAAAGAGAAACATAATACTAAGTGTTACTAAGATGGTATACTCAGTTGGATGTGTGGACTTACTCTTAGAGACGGGATACGAAATGAGCATATCCGAGAAAAGGTTGGAGAAGTTCTAGTAACAAATAAAATTAGAGAGAGACGCCTTAGATGGTTTGGTCATATGAAACGTTAGTCTTCCGATGACCCTATTAGGAGAGTAAATATATTAGATTTGACTTATGTTTAGAATGTTATGAGAGTAGATGTATTAAATTTGACCTATATTAAGAAAGGTACATGTAGACCTAAAAAGACTTGGTAGAAAATATTAGAAATGACATTTCTAATTTAAATTATAATTTGTCTCTCAACAATACACAATGAAGAAAAAAAGTTTCATGTAGCCATTCCCACATAGTGAGATGAAGGCTCGATATTTTTATTGTTGTTAAAATTTAGACATTCAAGATGGGCTTTAAATAAATAAATGCTATATATATATTTGGGACATTTAAATCATTTAAGGCCTATATTTTCCCATGAAACAAGACTTGTCCGGCCGCTCGAACCTATCCGTGGCCCGACAGGCTCGGCCGTGTCGACCACGTTGGCACGTGCGTGCGATCTCCGCCGCACCTCTCCTCCTGGTTCTCCAACCCTTTCTCTTTCTCTCTCTCCCGTTTCCTTCTATTCACCGGCTGCGGCTAATTGGTACCGTGCATCGCTCGGGCTTCCTGTAGAAAGATATCGGATCAGCTCTTTCCAGATATTTCCATCATTCCATTCTAGAAACCTAACTCTAGGACGAGGATCTGTTCCCGAGGCATTGTCCGCACTGTACCATCTTAGGAATCTTAGTCTCTTCTGGTTCTTCTTCTACGGTGCGTGCCGGCGGGGGACACTTATCTTTAATGCGACCAGTGATCGCGTTGACGGGGCTCTGATGGCTGTCCAAGGACTTCGGTGTTTCCAGCTCGATCGCCATGGTTCCTTTTCGTTATTGAATTCGCAATGAACATCCATACACTGCAATCCAACCATTCGAAGGTTTGTTTTTAATGGTGAAAACTTGAGGACTTTTTGCAGAGAGATATCCTAGCACTAATTCCATCTCTCGAAGGATTGCAGTCCTTTTTCTGTTTCAATCTTGTCATCTTTTTGCTTTAGCAGGAGAAATCTCCATGGAAATTGTTGAATAGTTAAGGTTATTCAAAATTGTCACTTCTTTGCTTGATGTTGGGAATGACTTCTTAGAGTGCTTTGCTTTTTCTTACAGTTCCTTATTTTGATTCTGGTATTGACGTGATAATTTATACCGCAGCAGAGTTCCCCTCCGGATAATTATGATGTTAAGGTTAGCTTCATACTCTTTAGCGACTTGGATGTTCACGCCTATTTCATCTGTTTTCTGTTGGATGTTTAAAGCAAAGTTAGCTGATTGCAGTAGTTGCTCTTTTAACTGTCAAATTTGTTGGTCTAAATGACCATTTTTCTACAAGATAGAATAAACATAATCTTTTCTGACTTGCAGGTTTTTGGCTTTCAAGAGGGGAGTTAAACTAGAGAATTCGTCTGCAGCAAGCAAGTGGTGCACATACTTTACAGGGAAGAGCAATGGATCAGACACTTCTTTTGGTTTACCGTTACCCCTTTCCTATAGAGCTTTTCATCATCAAGGGGCTTTGATGAGAGGAAACACTTTATGTTCAATGATTTTAGTTAAAGTAAATCGACCTAAGCTAGCTGGATTGCCCATACCATGCAGAGGTTTCCAATGCCATAGGATTTTTAACAAGGGGAACACATCATATGCTAGGAATACAATGAGGGAAAATCTTGCTCAGCGCAACTGTATCAAGAATTACTCCACCTTCTCAGCCAGCAGTGTTCTAAGACATTATCTCCAAATGGTGTGGAGAAGGCATTTTGCAATGAGCTCTTACGAAGGTCTTACCTCTACTCTAGCCAATAGGTTTGCATTTGCAATAAGCTTGCTCTCTACTAGATTTCATCTGGCTCGAACTGCTATTGCCTTTTGCGCCGGAGAATTAGCTTGGACAAATACAGCATGGGCTGATAGGGATTATTTTCCCAGAAGCAAATCCTTATACATGCAAGCTCAAGATAGCCGTTTTTACATCACTACTTTTCTCTTCTTGGTTTTGGACTTTTTTGTTTTGTTACTAAGAGCTGTTTATTTGGCAATTTTGTTCTCACCGATCATAATAATGGCACCGTTTTCAGATACTTTAGGAATTAAGTATAGGAAAACATGGCTTTACCTTGTCCGCCGTACTTTGGAGAAAGCAGGGCCTGCATTTATAAAATGGGGACAGTGGGCTGCTACACGCCCTGACCTGTTTCCTGGAGATCTCTGCAATGAACTGACAAAGCTTCATAGTAAAGCACCTGCACATAGTTTTGACTACACGAAAAAGACAATTGAGAGAGCATTCAGTCGCAAGCTGTCAGATATATTTGAAGATTTTGAAGAGCAGCCTGTAGCATCTGGAAGTGTGGCCCAAGTGCATCGGGCATCTTTACGAGTTCGACATCAAATACAGAAGTCTAACCATGCTGTTGTTGCTGTAAAAGTCAGGCATCCTGGTGTTGGAGAATCAATTAGAAGGGATTTTGCTTTAATCAGTTTGGTGGCTAAAGTTTCAAATTTCATGCCTGGCTTAAAGTGGCTTCGCCTTGATGAAAGTGTACAGCAGTTTGCTGTTTTTATGATGTCTCAAGTTGATCTTGCCAGAGAAGCAGCTCATTTGAGTCGTTTTATATACAATTTTCGTAGCTGGAAAGATGTTTCTTTCCCAAAGCCTCTCTATCCACTTGTGCACCCTGCTGTGTTGGTGGAGACTTATGAGCTTGGAGAAAGTGTTTCTCATTATGTGGATGAGCTTGAAGGACATGATCGGTTAAAAAGTACTCTTGCTCGTATAGGGACTCATGCTCTCCTCAAGATGCTCCTGGTTTGTTTTCTTCTTTATTTGTGTAGTTTAATATTTTATGTGCCTTTTATTGTTTCTCCTTTTTCTCCTTATTCACATCCTTTATCTAATTTGTGCCAATGCATAATTTACATTCTCATTTTTTAACCATGAATGTAGTAGAAGTTATGGTTTTAACCAATGTTATGAAAACCGGACCGGACAACGAACCGGTAGAGAGAGCGGTTCACGGTTCGACCGGTTCAACCGGTCGAACCGGGGTTGAACTGGATGACGTAATAAATACAATTTAGATGATATACAAATAATATATAGTGTATGTTTTAAACTTAAAAGTTAAAAAGAAAGATATAGGAGTTTTAGATTTTTTAGTCCCACATCACTTGGGAGACTTTCCCTTGGTGAAGCTTTTACTATATATTGGCTTTTGAGCTAGAAAGGTGTAGTACATCATGTAAAGAGATGAAACTTTATGAAATGCTTGTTTGAATTTTTTAATTTAAAATTAAGCATTTCAAATTTGAAATTAAATTACAAATATTTTTTAATATTTAAAAATAAGTTATTTAAAATTTAAATATTAAAAAATACAAATCTTGAACCGGCCGGTTCAAGTGAACCGCGACCGGTTCATCGGTTTAACCGGCGGTTTTGGACAAATCCAAAAGCGCCGGTTTGAAGCTAAGCCGGTTTTCAGGTTGAACCGAACCGGCCTTTGGACCGGTTCACGGTTGAACCGGTTGGACCGGCCGGTCCGGTCCGGTTTTTAAAGCATTGGTTTTAACCAAACTAGACTCCTTTTTATTATGAAATTTTTTAGTTTAATAAGTTCAATGCAAAAATTTGGAGAAGAATAATTTCGGTTATAATATTCTAGAATAAAGGAAATCTTTGTGATTTGGGAAGTTAAATTATAGTCCTGCAATGAAGTTGTGGGAGAGGATTATGATGATATTAGAGAAAATTTTGTTGGTATTAGAGAATCATTTGGTTGTATCTAAGAAGATTCGCTATGGATATGATTTTTGTGCTAAGTTAATTTATGGAAAAAAATATAGAGAGTAATTAATGGATTTATATATATTAGATAATAATTTGGTTGTATCCCATAAGATTCACTATAGATATGATTTTTGTGCTAAGTTAATTTATGATAGTTCTTGGCAAGACATATGATTAAGCACAAAAATTGACTTGGTGTGCATTGAGGAATAAATGTGTTAAAGGTGTTTGTGTTATTTAAGATATGTATTATAGAGTATTGACTACTATTAGAAGTGATTGTGAAGTGATCATTGAGTTCCTGATCTCAATTGGTTGTGTCATTGATATACCTTAAGTTTTTATCCTTTTGTATTGATTATAAAGATGTTTATTAAAGATATTCAAAGTAGGATAAGTTGGTGTATATGCTTTTAGTGGATGAAATAGTCATAATCCTTGAAATAAATGAAAGTAAGAATAATGGACAAAATATTTGAAAGACAAACGGAGGACCAGTGGAACAAAGGTTGAGTTTATGATAAGTAATTTTAGTGGGTATCATATTATTGATTATCATACAATGCTATTAGAAGTTAAATTGATACTTAGGTGTCATAAGTTTAGCTATCTTGGACGTATTATATAAAAGTGATGATATTGATTAGGTCATAATTATTAGAGTTGCGGCTGTATGAATAAAATATGTAGGTGTCTTAGAAGGATTATGCAATAAAAGGATATTATGGAGACTTAAAAGTAAATATAATAAAATTGTATTTTTGCCAACTATTTTATATAGATATGACTTATGAGTGTTAAATAATAAATAAATCATTGATAAGCAAGTTAAGTGCAACATATATGTGGATACCTATGATGCATAGACACGGACACGACGACACAGATACGGCATGACACGGATGTGGGATCCGAAAATTCGGCCCCAACTCCTCTCGTTGTTTTTTTCTCAAAATCAATTTGGATTCATGCCGAATAGGTTGACTATGGAAGCCATACATTTATTAATAGGTTTGATGGAGAAATATAGAGAAAATAAGGAGGATCTACATATGATATTTATTGATTTAGAAAAAGCATATGATAAAGTTCCAAGAGAAGTGCTATGGAGAGTTCTTGAAAAGAAATGAGTTAATAACGCTTATATTCAACTCATTAAAGATATGTATGCAGAAGTTATTACTTGTGTTCAAACACAAGGTGGTGTGACCAAGTATTTCCCTATTTTGGTTGGGTTACATCAAGGATCAGTTTTAATCCCATATCTTTTTGCTTTAGTCATGGATATTCTCACTAGACATTTGCAAAAGGATGTACCTTAGTGTATGCTTTTTGCTGATGATATTCTTCTTGTTGATAAGACTAGAGAGGGAATTGAAGGTAAACTTGAATTATGGAGGTCAACCTTGAGTCTAAAGGTTTTCGTTTGATTAGATCTAAAACGAAATATATGTAGTGTAATTTTAGTAGTAATAGACCTAGATATCTTTGATCTATTGTTCAGAGTGATGATGAAATAGATAGGGATATTATCAACATAATTCAAGTTGGATGGTTGAAGTGGAGGATTGCATCGGGATTGTTGTCTGATAGAAAAGTACCCCTCAAACTTAAGGGAAAATTCTATAGATGGTGGTGAGGCCTGCAATGCTTTATCCGAATGTTGGCCATTAAAAGAGAAGCATAATACTAAGTTAAGTGTAGCAGAGATGAGGATGCTCAGGTAGATGAGTGACTTTACCCTTAGAGATAGGATACGAAATGAGTATACACGTGAAAAGGTTGGAGTAGCTCCAGTAAAAGATAAGATTAGAGAGAGTCGCCTTAGATGGTTTGGTCACATAAAACAGCGGCCTTCTAATGATCCAGTTAGGAGAGTAGAGGTATTAGATTTGACTTATGTTAAGAAAGGTAGAGGTAGATCTAAAAAGACTTGATTAGAAAATATTAGGAATGACATTTTTTTATTAGATTTAAATGAGAATTTGACTTTTAATATGACACAATGGAGAAAAAGGATTCATGTAGCCGACACCACGTAGTGGGATAAAGGCTTGATGTTGTTGTTGTGGAGTTTTAACTGAATTAAGTTATGGGGTAAATTTTGGGAAGACAAATGAGTTTGTAGATAAGACACTTCCCAGAGATTTCTCCCTCATTTTACGAGGACTTTATGATTTGAGTTCTGGTTTCCTATAGGCGCAAGCCCTTATAGTTAATTACCTCTTCCGATCACAAGATAGAACTTTCAATAAAGGCTAGTCGTCGATGAAATACGTAAAGATACAATATTTGACATATAGTAGCAGCATCGGTTCGGGCATTGGAAGTTTGAAGTTTTGATATTTAAAATTAAAAATTTCACCATCTTGCACTTAAAGCGGATAGTGGGGGGAGTGATGATGAAACCAATTAAGATCCCATGGTTCTGTCGTCTCGGGCCATCGTGGTCTCTGATCTACTCAGTCAGAGGAGGTAGTCGACCCAACCTGACAGAAAGATCCTTGTCGGCAGCCATGGGTTGCGTCGTCCAAGGGGACCTTGTAGACCTAGGGTGGATATTTGTCTAAGGAGACAAATTTGAATCCACCTTAGCTAATAAAGGGCTTTGTGCCCTATCGATTATATTATATTGATTTATATCTCAAAGATTTGATGTTGGCTTTGGCCATAATCATAATTTAGTGGTGTCATTTGACGGTAGAACCACCAGGTTTAGAGGGCCCCGTGTCATAACCGTTTATCCTGTGGTGCCAATTGATGGCAAAATCTCTGGTCAGAGGACACATACCATGTCCTTACTAGCAGGAGATTATTTGAGAATGGATCATAGTAATATTTTCGATTAGGCATTAGCTCTATGTGAGCTAAAGTAAATTTCAATTTTTCCACCCTGACAAATTGTTACGAAGGGTGGATAAATTTTCGCTTTAAGTATTTTATGGTTGGATTTCAATTTTAAACATTTGGATTTTTGAGATTTTTGACATTTTTGGAGGCTTTGGATTTTGAAGACATTTGGAAAGTATTTGGAATTAACCCCTCCGATTGAGATCTGCATTCAACACCACCATCATCGGGATAATGGGATCATTTATTGACTAAACCTTGTCGACCCTATCAACTTTCCGATAGAGGGATTGGGTTCGTTGCTAGCTTTGCGATTTTGTTGATGAATTTTTTTTTAGAGGCCTTGAAGGCCTTATATGAACATATAAAACAGATATTCTGGTCGACGCCCTGATCGTATATCTGTTTGATAATTCAAGCCGTGCCGACTCCTATCTATTCATATAGAAGGATCAGGCTCGAACTACGTTCATTTATGGACACGTGTAGAATTCATAGACGTCACGTGTGTGCCAATAACATGCTCGTCGGGGCTCATGTGGGTGTTTGAGTGTATTTTATAATTATTTGTTGAACCTTGTCGACTTTTATTTACCAGCTTAGGAGGATCGAGTTCAAATTGACTCACGCAACATCCCTAGACGTCACATATCTTTCTACAACATGCTCGTTGGGGCCCATAGGGGTGTTGTAATTGCACTTACCCATTTTGTGTACCTATGCGTATACAAGTTACGGTGCATGTGCGGGGGCATTTTGAGATATTTGACGCTGCTCAGTTGTGTGGGAAACCCTGATTTAAATGTTTCATTCTATTTGGAAGCTTGTACACTCCTTATGTCTGCTTGTATACAGGTTGTAGATTCGGTGGCATGGCATCGCGCTTCAGTAGCCCTTGGTTCTTACTATTGATCCCCTGCTTTTGCTTACATGTGAATTATAGTGTTGTCACCTTATTCTAATGAGATATCTTATTGTCCCGATGTAAACTCCCTTTTCTCATTCAACGATAGGCTTTTATGGACCTTAAAATCAGTTACTGCTGCCTTGAAAAGAACTCTTTTCAAGATCTGTCATTTCAAGTGTTCATGGATATTAAAGCAATTTTCTTCTCAAGTATAAGACCAAGAAGAAATTTTGGAATACCAAGAAGTTTAGTTTGAATTTGC